AACACGTTCAGTTCGTATATTGCGATTTTTTCGAATCATTGGTGGTAATTCGGTTCTTTCAACGTCTTATGTTTGACTTTCGAAGTACGTAACTGTGTCCCTAATCAAATAGCAAGCAAAACGCCTCTCCCGGGAAGAACTCACGTTGCACCGTCCACTTTGTATCCGTACCCGTTGTAAAATACAGCAGAGGAATGTTCTGTTTTGAAGGGAGGATGAGATAACTGGTTTTCAGTGACAAACAGATCCGTTACGCAACTGAAACCCTCTTCTCTTCTCATCCGAGGAGATTATTAGCGGTTCAATTCTAACTAACATAGCTACGGGTCTCGGCCTACGTGATTTTACTTTGTGCTAGTTGTCACTGTATTTACAATCCTCAAAGTCTCATTATGTTCTAATGTACACGTGCATCCGTGTTGTCCCGTTAGCAATCGCCTGGAGCCCCTGTGAAACCAATCATTTCTACACGGTGGGGCGCGATTGTCTGGTTATTCGACATTGTGTGGCTGACGGTTTGCGACCGGCCGAGAGCGCCTCCCCCGTGGCTTTATGTATCAACGTTCGCGGAGCCCTGGCGCATGCAGTCAGTCGGGACCGGGTTTTGGCGAATCAGCTACCCCCGGTGGTGGACGAGACCAATTTGGTGACACAATCTCCGTGTAAGTTTTCTTTTTTTTATACCTATGTTAACATCATATTGTCCGAGCGAGGATGAGATAGTTCTTACTGAGCACTTCCAATGAAGTCTAACGGTATCAACATTTTGCTGCTGTGATACACTAACACACGGTAGAAGTGGACACTTGGCTTCAACAGGTAGATTGTCAATACATATACGGTGGCTACGTAGCCTGTGACTAAAAGATAGACATACAACTCAAGATTGTCCGTTAGAAAAACCGTTAGGCCAACTGTTTCTGTCATGCAATCTGCACGACCCATTCCACATGATGTTGGTTTGTGTGATAAAAACTACTACAGGTTCGTAACGGCTCAAACCCGTTTTCACCGGTTCATAGATATGAGCAAACATAAATCATATACAAAACGTTAGCGCATAAAGCTAGCTGCTTAACTGGCATGTTTGGAACATTCCCATTCCATATCCACAAAGATCATCCGGGGATAGGATATCTACCGGATGACTGTTGTAGGTTATATATCCATGGCGCCCTGTACAGCGTGCCATTTCCAGTGCAAAGGTGACCTAGCTCACGGAAATTGACGAGTACGTGAACATTAGTGATCGCACTCGCCATGAAAATTTCCAAATCAGAATTAACGTGATCCAGATCGGATCGATCTAATTACTGGCAACTATCCCCGAGGCTTGCATCATGACTGAATCTATAAATAGACCCCACCATCTGCGTTTCTTTTTCGACTCGTTTACTGACTTACTTCGCAGCATTTGGTCGGAGGTATGTAGCCGTGTCTAGCCTGGAGTGAATCGTTGATTGTCCTGATCTTCGGGAAGGGATCACGTAAACCACAGCGAGATACTTTTAATTTCGATCATCCCAAAAGTGTTAGGTTTTGTAATGCTTCACCGTCGGACACCCTTCAGGGAGATGAATATTCGCGAACAGTAAGCAACATTCCGATCAAGTCACTGTTGCATCGACCAAATCTCCACCCTACGTCAAGTCCTCCAATCGCGCCTCACACTTCAGCGACCGACAGTTGCAGTATTCATTGACCTAAACGGAACTTTCGATTCAGTTGACCGTGAAGCCCCAATGCTTTTGCTGCTGCGTCGCAAAAGAATGTTGCGGCCATTGTACCTCTGGTACTGTTAGGTCTGTGGTTAGCTAATCAAATCGTTCAGGCACAAGGAGCAGTGTTCGTCAAGGATGCCTTATTTCGTCCTTCCCATTCAACTTCGACGTAGGCGAAATACTACNAGACAACACACTGGGTGGTCTCAAAAGAAGTGGCATTCAGATGACAGCTAGAGAAAACCTGTGATTCAGTGTACGCTTTAGACGCTATCTGTCTGTTCGAATGTATGGAGGATGCGCAAAGCGCTCTTGACAAATTTTCAATTTCTTCAACTCCATCAGGTAGGCGTTTTGCACCTCCAAAGTACAAACTGATGCTACGTGATTGGGTGTCGTCTACCCCAGCTCTGATGCTTGCTGGTCAAGAATTAATTATGGTAGTTTTTTTCTCCCACTTAATTAGTTGGGTGACAAATGACGATAGCGCAGTCAAGAAGGATCTCAAAGGCATTAATAGCGTACGAAGGACTGAAACATCTTGGGTGCTGACATGATGTTTCTCTGAAAATGAAAGGTCGCTCATACTGCGTCAGTGTACGGTCAGTTCTTTACGGTTGCGAGACCCATCAATTGCGCATGGAAGACATTCTTATTTTTACGACCCACATATGTGATGAACAGCAGGTGGGGATTGGACCCTATAGCCACGATAACCTGGTGTTCAGTGAATGGAATCGGTAACCTCAGCCCCGGAACCACTTAAGGCTCCGCTAGGTCAGG